ATTTCACAAGTTTAAACACATGTATAAATTTGCATAACATCCACCACCACCACCACGATCAGGATTCAGAACAATTTCATTCATTACTCAAAAAAAATTTCTTCATGCTGCTCCTTTGTCGTCAGACTCTGCATCCGCCCCTAACAAATATTGATATGTTTTCCATCTTTATAGTTTGGTCTTTTCCAGAGTGTCATATAAATGAAATCGCATAGTATGTAAGTTTTGGAGACTGGCTTCTTTTACTTAGGCATAATGCCTTTGAGACTCCTCAATGTTATGCATGAGTCAATAGTTTTAGCTGTAGAGGGCGCAGCGTCACTGGCCTGCATGTGGGATTTGAACCGGGGCCCTGCTGCTTAGAGCTGGCGTCCCAAGCCAACTCTTAACCAATGCGTCACTTAGCCGTCCCTATTTAAGATCCTTTGACTTTCCATAAAAATGTTAGCATCAGCTTGTCTATATCTACAAAAAACCCTGGTAACATTTTGATTGGGATTATATTAAATCTTAGATCACATTGGGAAGAATTGACTGTATACGAGTATGTAGAATCTTAACTATATATAGAGTTGTCTGATCCATGAACATAGTATGTGTCCCTGTTTATTTATGTATTTGATTTTTTTATCAGCATTTTATAGTTTTCAACGTATAAGTCTTTTACATGTTTTGTTAGATTTAAACCTATGTATATATGTGTTTATTTTGGAGGCTATTGTGAATGTGACTGATTGATTAATAGATAGAGCTATATATGCACATATAATTAAAATGAAATATGAGATATATATACACACATATGCAGTTTTACTTCCTCCTTTCCAATTTATATTTCTTTTATTTATTTTTCTGATTGCACTGGCTAGGACTTGCAGTTTATTATTGAATAAGAGTGGTGAGAAAAGACATCCTTGCCTTACTTATTCTTGATCTTAGGAAAAAAGCACTTAGTTTTTCAACATTAGATATGATGATAGCTGTAGATTTTTTGAAAATATCCTTTATCAGGTTCAGGAATTTCTCCTTTTTCTGGTTTGCTGAGAGTTTTATCATGAAGTTGTTGGATTTTGTCAAATGCTTTTTTGTATCATTTGATGGAGTAATGTAGTTTTTCTTTTTTAGTCTGTTAATATGCCAGATTATGTTGATATTTGAATATTGATTTAGACTTGCATATCTGGCATAAGCCTCTCTTGGTTGTGATGCATTGCTGCTTTTATATATTGGTATCAGGGTAATTCTAGCCTGATAAATTGAGTTGGGAAGTGTTCCTTGCTATTGTATTTTCTGGAAGGGATTGTTTAGAATTGATGTTATTTCTTTAAATGTTTAGTGGAATTTCCCTGGTGAAAGAATTTGGGCTTAGTGTTCATTTTCAGAAGATTTTTCACTATGTATTTAATTTCTTTGATAGAGGCCTAATTGAGCTAATTATTCTTTTGGGGGTGAATTTTTGGTAGTTTGTGGCTTTCATGGACTTGGTCCCATTCATCTAAGTTGTTGAATTTATGTGCACAGAGTTGTTCATGGCATTCTCTTATCCTTTTAATGTCTCAGTGGGCTGTGGTGATAGTCTCGCTTTCATCCCTGATATTGGTAATTTATGCCTTATCTCTCTTTTCCTCTGTCACTGGTTAACCTGGCGAGAGGTTTATAAATTACATTTTTTCAAAGAAACAGCTTTTAATTTCATTAGTTTTTCTCTTTTAAAAAAATATTTATTTCTGCTTGCTTTGGGTTTATTTTGCTTTTGTTTTTAGTTACTTAAAGATGGAAGCTTTGATTGTTTATCAAGACCTTCCTGCTATTTTAATAACATGTTTAATGATTTAAATTTCCCTCTAAGTGCTGCTTATCTACATCCCACAAATTTTGAATTATGTATTTCCATTTTTGTTCAGTTCAAAATATTTTCTAATTTCCCTTGATACTTTATCTTTGACCTGTGGATAATGTAGAAGTTTGTTGTTTAATTTTCAAGTATTTGAGGATTTTCTGGACATCTTCCTGATACTGAGTTCTAGTTTAATTCTGTTATAGTAAGAGAAATACTCTGTATGGTTTCAATTGTCTTAAATTTGTTATGGTTTGTTTATAAGCCAGGATATGGTGTATCTTGTTGAATGTTCCATGTATGCACTTGAAGAGAATGTGTATTTTGCTGTTGTTGGCTGGAGTGTTCTGTAAATGTCAATTAGTTCCTGTCAGTTTATGGTGTTATTTTTTCTATGTCCTTGATGATTTACTTTTTACTTGTATCACTGAGAAAGGAATTTTGAAGTCTCCAACATATAGTTGTAGTTCTGTCAGTTTTTGCTTTAGGTGTTTTGAAACTGTCAGTTGCTTATACATTAATGATTTTTATATATTCATGGTGAATTGATCTTTTTATCCTTACAAAATGTCTCTCTTCATTCTGGTTATTTTCCTTACATTTTAGTCTGCTTTATTTAGTATTGATATAACTATTTCAGTTTTCTTTTATTTTTAGCATGGTATACCTCTTTCCATTTTTTAACTTTTAACTTTATCATTATATTTAAAATAAATTTCTTTATAGCATATAGTTAGTTTGATTTTAAAAAAATCCGTTTTGACAGTCTGTCTTTCAAGGAAATGTTTAAACCATTTATACTTGATATAAATATATGCTCTGGTTTAGATCTATATTATTGGTTTTATGTTTATACCTTCCATTTCTCTTCATCTGTTTGCCTTTAGCTGCCTTATTTTGGATAAATTGGTAATTTTTTTGAATTACATTTTAATTTATCCATTTAATTTAGTATAGATTTAATTTAATCTACTTTATTT